ATCCATCTTTGATAAAAATTAACTGATGGTTCATTAACTTTCAGCAGCGAGGCTTGCTTGCTTGGGAGGTATCTCCTGCTGTCTGGCTCAAAGCAGGGTGTTGGGTTGCTGCACACTGGGCTGATGTCCACCAGAAGAGGCAATCAGCAGCAGGACTTTTTTCCTCCACACCCTTAAGAGCATATTTTCGATAGTCTGTGTGAGCCTGCGATCAAACTCAGTGTGCTTGAACTGTCCCAGCAATCTGTTTCAAGTCAGAACTGAGGAGGTTTTAATGATAAAAATACCCAGAGGAAGTGAAAGTGAGCATAGGAGAAGCACAGTATTCTGCAGGGGATTCTCTGCTTGCTTTAATTTTGTCTCAGCAAAAACAGACTTTAGCACTGTGCACCACAGCATTTATGATGACTGGCATATTTTTTAAAAACTTCTTTTTCCTTAGGAATTTGTGGCTAGTGCAGTTACATTTGCTCAGCTTAGCCATTATCTCTTGAGTAATTTCACTTCTTCTTCTCATCACTTCTCACACAATCTGCAATTCCAGTATATATAGAAATCATAATTGAAGCTTGCAGACAACTGTTTTGACCTGCAGATGTGTATTATACACAGCTGAAAGCAGAGGTCATCTTGGCTGAGACCCTGTCTGAAAGCTGTTCTGCCCACATGTAAATAATGATAGCTGGAGTACCCAGAACGTTGCAGCAAAATGCAGGTGTATTTTTTCCTCTTTATACTTAACATTTTTATACTTTGGAGTGTTTGTCTTTTATAGTCAGCATTTTATGAACTGTAGTGTAGCTGTACAAAGTAAGGAAATGCATTTAAAGTATATGGTAGCGTTGTGTCCCCTGTGGCTGCTGTGAACCGTGTCTGTGTGCATGGTCTCAGCACGCCCAGCATCACCATGGACTCGGATAGCTCTCCCTCCTTGCAAAAATATTAATAAATCTGAACCTGTGGGTGCTGGGCATTTTGTTCATAGGCACTCGAGGAGGCTCTGAGATGCACCTTTCTGCAGCTGCTTTGATTGAGCTGCAAATGTGGTCTTTGTTGGGAGGAGTGGGGCCAGGCACCCCAGCAGCCGTGCGGGTGAGGTGCCCCTGCATCAGCACCAGCTGCCAGCCAGCTTCCATTTTCATAAATTTCAGACACTTTAGAGCCTTATTGTCTTGGTGGCCAGGCAGCAAGGACATGTGCTGCCTTCCTCCAGAAATTCCTCTGAGCAGGAGAGTGGCCACAGCCTGCACGGTGCGGAGCCTGCAGGCTGTGGGAAGCAGTGGACTCTCCTATCATTTATTAATGTAATGCTATAATCTGCTGTGAAACCCTTCTTCAAGACCACATGGGGTTTAAAGTAGCAAACAAGTAACAAACTTGAAGAATGGGACATGACAAGCGATTTCACTTCATCACGAATATCCAGTTTCAGGACTGTGAGGATCTGAGGGAAAAATGCTTAGTTGCAAAATGGTTGCACGCGTGCTTACTGACTGCCAAAGCTGCGGCATCTAGACGGAAAATACAGAAAAGCAGGTTGTGTCACTTAAACGTGGTGTCTGAACCTGTTAGTTTGAAACGTATTCTGGAGTAAAAATTATGCAGAATTAAATTAGTGTGACCTTACTTTGCATTTGGAGGCTGAATATGCCCATCTTGTAAAGCCTAGTGCATTTATAACACTTCCCTTGGGGAAAATTACAGAGAGAAATGGAATGAGGTCTCTTCTAATTGAAAAGTGACAATGATTAGGAAGCCAAATACGAAATGTGTTGAGTATTTTTTTCTTGTTTTGTTGTGTGTGTGTGTGTTTTTAAGAATACCAGTAGAATTATAAATTACGTGCTTCACAGTTTGGCTTGTTTTTCATTCCCCAAAGGCTTTTTATTAGCATAGCCGCTGAATTGCACTTGTATAAAAGGTATTAACGCAAAGTTTGGGTTTTTAATGATCTTTCTTTGTTAGTTTGCACTGCTTGGATAAAATCTTACCAAGTATATCCAGCTTTCCAGTGTGTTGGTCCCCCCCACCTTCTGCAAATGAAGCCCATGAAGACAAGTTAAAACAGAGGGAGAGTTGGCAGAAACGTTGGCGCCTCGAGTGGGTATGAGTCTCTTGAAACTTGAAAAGCACAAATTGAGTGTGTGGGACTGTTTTTGGTTAGGTTTGATTTTTATTTTATTTTTTTCCAAAGGCCAGCTTGGGCACCATGAGCGTTCTTGGGATGAAAGCTCATGTCGGCGTACCTGATGCGTGTGCTCCTGGGTGCCTCCAGGCTGTGCTGCTCCTCGCAGGCTGGGCTCGGGGCCACACAAAACTGGGGGCACTGTGAGCCCTCGGCTCTTCCCTGAGCTTCCGCTGGTGTCCTGGAGAGTTTGGCCTCCTCGTGTACACATACAGCATTGGGGAGAAATGCTCATTCCAGCAGCACCACCAAAGAAGGCTTGGGGGCAGATGCATTTCTCGTATATGGTATTTAAATGTTCAGGTGGTGGTCTGTGTTGCAGGACAAGGATAGGTGTGCTCTGCTGCAGTCATTTTGCCGTTTGCTTCCTCATGCTAACAAAGAAGATCAGAAAACAGCAAAGCCATAGGCATGGAAATGCCAAAGTCCAAGCAAGGGGAGCTGCTCAGGTTTTATCGTTCAGTCGTGTTTCCCAAACCCGCTTACAGAATGTTAATTTGCAGCTTAATTGTCCTCCCTACTCCCACAAAGCCTGCCCCTCCTGGCTCACCCTGCGGGGTCCAGCCTGTCCAGATGTCCAGCTCCAGGAGGACACGGGAGGGAGAGATGGGGCAAGGCAGGAGGCCAGTCGCTGCCCCACCTCTCTGGTCGTTACCCATTTGCTCTGCTAATTGCACTGTGTCTTACCATTACAGCTCTTGGCAACTGTTTTGTAACACCCCAGTTGCAGGAGTCCCAGAGCCAGAATAAACGGTGTTCAGCGCTGGATGGGGATGGATGAGGCGCTGGTGTGTAGTCCCGGAGCCTGACAGCATTCCCACCCTTTCTGCTGCTCCGGGCTCTGCTTGTGGTGCCAGTCCGTTTGTGCAGGGAGCTCGGCTTTGTAGACTACACGTCTGGTGTTGCTTCCTAGGCAGGAATTCAGGCAGCACTTCCTGATGGCCAGGACTTTACCTGTGTCACCAAAGTGCTGTGACCAATTTGGCAGTGTTTGGTTCATTTAAGAGACCTCTCATCCTAGGAAAGGGACTTTCCTTTACAGCTGATCTGGTCTTGTTTTTCTTCAGAAATAGAACTTCCTCTAACCTGGATCATAAACTGTTGGGAATATGTTTTTTTCCAAGCTTTTTCCCTCAGGGTGGCATTTGGGCCCCTTGCTGGGGTTGCTGTGAAAGATCCAGAGCTCCTCTTCTAAGAAATTGCTTTTAGCTAAAATGCCTTTGCAATATTTGGCTTGTAATCTGTCTCTTCTCACCTGGCGTAGAGGCAGCTGTGGTTTAGGGGTGCTGTAAGTATATGGGCTCCAAGTCACTCATACGGCTAACTTTGTGACAGATTAAGATCCTACTTTCAAGGCATAATTCTGCTTTTTGAAGGTGGTGGGCAGAGCTAGTTAAGCATTTTGGGAAATGGCAGAAATAGCTGCTGTTTAGCAGAATGAGCTCCAAGGTAACTGGCAGCACTTACCACCTGGACTGTTTTCTTGACATTTATTTGCTTTTACTGGCACTTAAATGCCACCTGCCAGGAGAAAACTTTCCATTAAAAAAGTAGAATAAAATGTGCCTGACTCAGCAGAAGCCACCCCAGCTGGTACAAGTGATGTGATGCTGCCCTTCAAGGCATGATGGTCTTCCTGGGTATCTGCAGATATATACGTGTGTGTGTGTGAATAGGTAAAATACGGATGACAGCATCCATTATAGCTTAGGGCACAGCTTTCTAAAACTGGATTTTATACCTCTACCTACTGAGAAGCAAACAAAGTTTAAATCCCCAGCAGTATTGAATTTTGCTGCTCTAGCTTCTGGTTTATGATGAGCAGCAGGATTGCTGCTGCCTGGTCCTGGGCACAGTGAGCCTCAGGCGCGGCAGGCATGAGGAGGCTGGGGGTAGCAACTGAGAGGTTCGGGGGTGGCATCCGCTCTCTGGGTGCCAGACACATGGAAATAATGACCCCAGAGCTATGTTTGCCTCAGTGCTCAGTTTTCCTTTGCCTCAGAGAGGTGTGAGGAATTATTTCCTTAGAATTATTTCCTTAGGAAATTTTAGGAGCAGCTTCTTACTGCCTCCTGCCAAATGTCTCTGGAGTTAACCAGATAGTCTGTTGTTTGCTTGCTCGTGTTTGTTTGGAGGATTTTTGGCAGTTTTCCTCTATGCCAGTTCAAGCCACTCAAGCTGCCGCTGTCAGCTGGCCGAGCCCTGAGCCGAGGGATGTCTGGAGCTCTGGGATGCAGCCCCCGCGAGCAGCTGCACCGTGCCCGTCTGGCATCTCACCGAAAAGCAGGAGGCTGTGCCCTGTGGCTGATGGGCTGGCGTTGGGGAGCGGGGGACTGCCGGTGTGGGACCGCCGTGCCATGGGCTTCACATGTCACTGTCTGACCCCTGTGACAGGGGGACGTGTACCTGGTGCGTGGGTGTGCTGAGGAGGGCGTCAGTCCTGTCCTCCCTGCAGGCTGGAGTGGTGGCGATGGGAAGAGACACTGAGATGCTCCTGGTTTTGTGCCCGGTGGTGGGGGCTTTGGGAGGTCCTGTCTGCATTGTAGCTGGGGAGCACTCAGCTTTGTGGATCGTCTTTAAAGATCCCTCCTAGAGAGACTATTCTGTGACTGAAAAAGTGAATTGACGAATTTCTTATTAAGTAAATAAGCTGGGCTCAAAGCACACAGAGCCCATGTATGCATATGTGAGAGCTTTATGGGGGAAGGATGCAGCAGTGTCATTGCTGTCTCAGCCATGTTAGTTCTTGCGCTCAGTTTCATGCTGCATTTTCTGGTGGCTTACAGTCTGTCTGTCTGTCTCTCTTGCAGCGGAGTTGGAGTTTGTACAGATAATCATAATCGTGGTGGTGATGATGGTGATGGTGGTGGTGATCACGTGGATGGTCTGCGCGATCCTTCATCAGCCGGCACAGCCAGGGGAGGCGGAGAGACGAGAACCTCTCATCAGTAAGTCACACCCTGCTCCTCCAACCTGCGTTGTCTTACGCTCTTTGCCAAATGCTGTGATATTCAGGGAAACGTTAGAGCCAAAGGCATTTGTCTGGGTTGCGTTTTCCCATGTGCTAGTTGGCACTGCATGAAGAGATGTCCTCCACGTTGGGCCTTCACATCATCTTCTGTCTCTCAGTTATGGAGGGAGCCCTTTTAGGGATGCCTTTGGCACTTTAGGGTGCTTTAGGGTGTTGTAATATATGGACAGCTATAGCCTCTGCCTTTGCTCTGGGCTTTGCAATTTGAACTTGACATCACTAAAGTAACTGCAGAAGGCTGTTCTTGGCATGTCCTGGTCCTGGAACCACCACATACCCTCAGCTAGTTGGGATGCATGTGTCTTGCCTTTAACAACCCCAAACTGAGTCCTTTGGTGGCTCCGGTTGGAGTCTCTCAAATGACTGTGTAAAAACTTACTGCCTACCTTGAAGAGAATAGGAGATCCTGAAAGACTTTCTCCATTTTTCAATTGTACCTTTGATGGAGACTCGAGGGGGAGCCTCTCCAGCGTTGTGGCAGATGCTGCTTTATACAGCAGCTCAGAGAGGCTTACAAGAACAGATAGAGAAGACAGCACATTTCCTCGAAGGGTGAGTGTGTACTCTTCACTGCTGCCTACGTGGCTCTGTCTTCAGCACAGGGATATCTTGTATGGATACTTTTTTTTTTAGCATTCACCATAAGGATCTTAAAGCTTTTAAGCAATAGAGCTTCCTCAAGGTCACTGCTTTGTGCACTCTCCTTTGCAGACTTACAGGGCAGGCTGAGCACACCAGGGCTGACTTGTGGTGGTCTGTGTGGGGCCACACTCTTGTATCTAATCCACGCTTGCTGCAGGAAGAAGATCAAATACTGGGATTGTTGGGTTGGGTTTGGTTTGGTTTGTTTTTTTTGTGGTTTTTCATTTGTTTGGTTTTGTTTTTTACTTTTATTTAGGTGACTGTTTGTTGGGGTTTTTTTGTTTGGGGTTTTTTTTGGAGGGAAGAGATGTCTAACATCTGCTTTGGTAAGTCTCCGGTGCAGCGCTGCCGAAGGCTGTCCAGCCAGCAGCCGCCCAGGGCACAGGCTGTCCCTCTGCCCCATCGCTGCTCTTGTTTAGTCCCACGTTGCACACAGCAAAGGTCCCTTACCTGATGCTCTGTGCTGAAGGGAGGAAGACCCTTGGGAAGGAGAGCTGTGCAAACCCTGAGCTTAATTAAACCACCCATGGTTTTGTGGGCTGTGGAGTGCATCTGCAGAGGTCACTGCATGGAGCTCACGTTCATTATCGATGCGGTGCAACACGATCAAAGTGCCAGGAGTGTGTGATCCTGCCTTAAACCAGCAGCTGCGAGGGTGCTGAGCGCTCAGTCGCCTCCTGCTTTGGGCATCAGAGCTCAGCTCCCCGCATGTATTCCAGCTCCTCCCGGAGTTACAGGAATCTCATCTCTCTTGTCCTGTGCACCTGCTCTCGACTGTAGCAAAACGTGGGTGCTTGAGCACGTGAGTTTTTAAAAATAACAGAAAGATTGTTTTCCCATTTTCATATTTTCCACTCTTTTCTCATGTTCAGAGTGCTTACTTGAACAATACCAAAATGTTTCATTTTACATTTTCAAAGCAAACATGAGATCAAGCCTTTTTTATTTTAATATACTAATTTCTGTTTTCTTAAGTGGCTTGTTTTTTTATTTTCTTTGAAAAGAGGAAAGAAGGCTAACATGGAAAGAGAAGAGAAAATCACATGGAGATTGAACAAAAATTTCAGGTCGAATCAAAAATTGTTGACTGTTTTAAAAATAATGCCTTTTCCCCTCTTTTCTTTTTTTTTTTTCTCTTTAAACTCTCACTAGCCCAAAATTTCCAACCATTTTTTTCCACTTACACCAAAACAGCTTCGTTCCTTATTCAGCCTTCAGACACATCCGCGATTAAATAGCTTTTCTGCAAAGGTTTACCCTCACCCCTCTACTAGACCTCAGTGAGGATGCAGAGCCTTCAAAACCTTTCTCAGAGCTAAGGAGAGAAGTGCACGTGTACCATTTTGGCTTTTCCCCCTCTCCTTATAATTACGCCTGCCCCTGTGTGTGCTGCAAGCACAGCGTGAGGGAGTGCCAGCCGTGCATCCCTGTGTCCCGAGCGCCCTCCTGACCAACAGAGAAGCCCCTCGTGCGTGGAGCAGGAAGCTCGTTACAGCGTGATCCATCCTAATGAAGGTGGGAAAGGTGTAGCTCCTTTTGGATTCAGCACAGATGTTTTTGTGCAGAACACAGCTCCAGTCTAAGCGAGCGTTCCAGGGCAGCAGACAGGATATGCTGAACTGGACACCAGTTCACATCATCCATTAAACTTGCGCTGAACTGGTGTTGGGCTTTTTAAATCCCAAACTTCATTTTGCTGTCGTGACTGCAGATGGGCACTGGAGCTGTGTGCATGCTTTTCATCTTCTGAAATATTAAAGGAGTTCACCCCATTGCAGGATGCTGCTAGGTCTGCCGGAGTTGTCCTTTTTTTGTTACTGTAGCTCAAAAATTACAACTCAAGGAGAAATTAATTTCCCTAAAGGATTTTTTTTAATGCGGTTCTTGCTAGCCAGGAATTCTTGTAATACATCTTGTGTTTCTCCATCTTGCTGTACTTTTATCTCCTTATAACAAGTACCTTTATTTTTCCAGAACTATTTAAGAAATTAAAAAAAAAAAAAAAAAAGCCAGGAGAAACTCCAGGAATAGGAAAAGAGCATCTGTTTTTTTTTTTTGCTACTAAAAACCTTTTTGCACTAAGAATGGCACCGTCCCTGTGCCTTTGGAACAGCGATATCCAACTCCCACAAGAAGTGGTTTAAATGCAATTTTCAAGCATACCTTCATCCCCCAAAATGGAAAATATGAGTCCTTCTGAAGGCTCAGAGACTTAATCTGCACCATGCAGCTTCACAGAGAAAATTCTCTGACATTACTAAAACAAGTGGTTCTATAAAAGTCAAAGACTGATATCTAAAAAGAAATTTAAAAGTAATTTTAGGTTTTGCAGTGAGTCCCGGCATACTTGCGGAGGCTTTTACAGCCGCATTGCTCATCAGGTATCAGAATCTCAGCTTTCGTTTTGAAAAACCACAGCTTTCTCGACTCAGCCATTGTTGAGATGAATTCAGATCTTAAATACACTGAAAATCGGGGGTGAGCGAGGAGAGGATTTACAGTGGGAATGCTTCTTCCCAGGGCAGTGCAGTTTTGCTGGGTATGGTAGGTGCTCTGTAGCCATCCCGTGGCCAAAACACGAAGGCTAAAAGTATGGATGCATTCTGTCTCTGAGACTTTGCTCTCCTCTGACTACGGTTTTCTGGCAGTTTTAACCCCACTGTTGAGTTTTTAGGAGGGGTGAGCTGGACACACAGTGTGCATCATGGAGGGTCGAGCGGTGAGCATGCTCACGGTCAGTCAGCTGCAGGCTGCGGAGGTCCAGCTCCTGTGGTGAATACAAGCTGCAGGCTCCAGCTCCTACAGAAAATGGGTCTCCTGTCTGCTCCTTATTTCTGTGGATTCTGTTTTAATGGTGTTTCTACTGGTTTGCTATTCTTGTACATGCAGCATCTGGACAAACTGGATGAGTTGATCTGTGAGCCAGAGCTTTTCTTCTGAGCCCTGACATTGGGTGCAGGCTTTGGGTGACTGGGACTGAGGGCTAGGGGAGATTTTGGGGCAAAGCAGCTCACGTAGGGGGGTGTGTGTGCCCTCCCCATCGCCTGCTGCAGCGGGAAGCCCTGGCCGACTGCGGCGATGCTCTGTACGCTGGGGAGGGCCGGGCAGCAGCCGCCCTCGCGAGAGCCGGCTGACATCACTCCTGGGAAAGGGGGAAGCAGATGGGATATTGCCATGGCACTGCCCACCGCCAAGTTAAATATAAAACATCTAGCAGAAGGCAGTGGGGTACTCGCTGCTCAGGAAGTCTGCCACGGGGACATGGCAAAGTAAACACAATTTTCAGAGTGCATCCCGCTCCTGCCCGCTGCTTCGGTGTCCTCCAGGGTGACATGGAGGGCTGACAGCGTTGGAAACACTCCCTGTGCCCTTTGGTGTCAGTGCCATAGCTGAGCAGGGGGGTTGAGGTGAGGGTTTGATCTGTGGCAGATGCAGTTGCTCTTAGGTCTTTTGGCTGCTGAGGGAATTTGCCTGTAAACTGTCCCTGCAGGCAAGAAATTCCTGTAAAGTGGACCAGACTGAACAGTTGATGCCTGTGTAAACAGACGCGAATTGAAGTCTCGAGGTCTGTGAAGGGCTATGCGCACACAGCTCAACCAGCGCATTCATGAGCTGTAGGCGGGGAGGATGCTGGTGCTGTGGCACTTAACCTCTGCTCCAAGGAGATGCTCCCTAAAAACACCGAGAAGTGGGAAGAATCTGGGTCATCTCATTTCCATATAAATCAGTGTTTTCTTTGCACTGCCAACAGGACTGCCTTGAGGTTTGTGTGCCAAGCTTCAAAACCAGGAACCTGATGGGCTTCTCTCCATATCTGATCCCACGTGGCATGCCACAAGAGAAAATATATTCCAAAGTTGGGGAAAATAAAGAAGAAAAAGGTGGGACAGGGAGGAGGAGGGACGGGATACAACTGGCACCTTCTTTGGAGATGCTAACATGGTGCCGGTGCTGTGTTTTTGGGCAGTCGAATGCGTGTTGCAGGGTGCCTGGGTGCTGAGGCTCTTGTCGGTGGGCACCTTTTTGGAGGAGGAAAGCTGTGGTTTGCTCATCTGGGGAGCCCTGCTGCATAGGCTGGGCCCGAGAATGGCCTTTATATGGGACACCTGAAAGGGAGAAGGGGGGAAAAGAAATACGTTGGGCATTTTCTTTCCACTGATGGTAGATACTTATGCCTGTGCCAAAACTGGAGATTCACCTGTGAGGAATTGGGAAGTGCCAGCACTTGCAGACTGTGCTCATGAGCTGTCTGGCTTGTGCACCTCCAGTCCTGCCTGTATGTGAATATTAGCAGTATGTAAATATTCTAGTTCCTAAGGCAAAAGTGTCTAGGGTGAACTATGGATGCTGAGTATCACCAACACATGGGAAGAGCCTTTGTTTGTTTTGATCATGAATTGTGAGCTGATCTCATGGTTCGGGGGAAATTGGCTTGTGGCTTTGCCATGGCTGGGTCTGGGTTGCACGATCAGGATGGCATGCGCAGTGTAAAGAAGCCTCTAGACCACAGTTCCTCAGTCTCTTTAAGCCAAGGACCACTTACCCTTTTGGGGAAAAAATACTCTGGAACCATCTTGTTGCTACAGATTTCTGGGGTTTTTTTTAGCCAAATCAAAATTAGGCTTAACATTTGGTTATTTGCTTATTATCTTTATTTTCCCATGATTTCCTTGATTGTGTGCATCAGAATGTGGGTGTGAGCTTTTTCTTTTTTTTTTTTTAAGTCTTGTCATTATTTCATGGAGCATTTTCTGATGTCTTGTGAATCACCCACGGCTCATGGCTCACAAATTGAAAAATACTCCTCTGGCGTGTTTGAACCAGGGAGAAACACGCTGGGTGGTGGTGGGCGGGCGGGGGGAAGTCTGCAAATGGGAGAGCGCTGTTTGCTGGTGTCATCCTCATCATTCATTCTGTAAGCGATCTATTAAATATAAACGGAGGGGGAAATGGAGGGAAATTTTGATCAGCAGTGGTGTTTTCAGTGGTAATAAGCCAATACCCTTAGTGCATAGCCATATGATATGCAGCATATAGGGCAGTAGCTGATGCCCCTGCTATGCAGGCTGTTCAGAAGAGGATCTGTGCTGTGTGTTGCTGTAGCCGGGCAGGAGCACATTGACAGCAATGCCGTACATGGGCTCAGACACAGAGTTGAACCTGTCCCGAGCGTTTGCAGAATGAACGGGTGCTGGCAGTGGGACTGATGCTGCCCTCTCTTCTTTCCGATGCAGGAGGGAAGCCTGTGGCCTTCAGAAAGCACCGTGTCGGGGAACGGCATAACAGAGGTGAGGGCGACGCGGGCGCGAGTGCCGCTGCCTTCCCCGCTGTCCCGGGCTGCAGCGTCTGACGCTTCTCGCTCGTTTTCTCATTTTTCTCCCTTTCAGCAGCAAATCTACACCCCGAGGCCTAGCGACCGCCTGGCAGTGCCATCCTTCCTGCAGAGGGACCGCTTCAACAGGTTCCAGCCCACCTACCCCTACCTGCAGCACGAGATCGACCTGCCGCCCACCATCTCGCTGTCAGACGGCGAGGAGCCCCCCCCGTACCAGGGACCCTGCACGCTGCAGCTGCGCGACCCCGAGCAGCAAATGGAGCTCAACAGGGAGTCGGTGCGGGCCCCCCCCAACAGAACCATCTTCGACAGTGACTTGATAGATAACTCGGTGTACGGGGGGCCGTGCCCCCCCAGCAGTAACTCTGGCATCAGCGCGACCTGCTACGGGAGCAACGGGAGGATGGAGGGGCCGCCGCCGACGTACAGCGAGGTGATCGGGCACTACCCCGGGTCCACGTTTTACCAGCACCAGCAGAACAGCACCGGGCTGCCCTCCATCTTGGAGGGCACCAGACTCCATCATTCACAACTCAATGGCCTTGAGAGCACAATGACGTGGAACAAAGAGAAAGAGAAACAAAAAGGGCACCCCTTTTAAAAAAAAAAAAAAGGAAATAAAAAAAACAAGAAAGTAAATGAAACACTCTGCACTTCTTGTTAAAAGAAAAAGGAGAGAGAGAGTTGAGGAAGATGAGCGAAGAAAAAAAATAAAAGCGCTTCCCCATCTCTCCATGTATAAATATTTACTTGTTATGTCTGGTCTGAATGCACAAGCCTACCAAGCTTGCAAAAACATTTCTTTATTGAGCTGTGTCTAGACGTTTAAAAAGGAAAAAAAAAATCAACTGTAGTCCTTTTTTTGTTTTGTTTTGTTTCTAGTTGAGCTGTGTGTGAATGCTTTTTTTTTTGTTTGATTATTTCACTTATCTTTAAAGACAAAATATTTGCACAAAAAACATTTTGTTTAAAGATCTGCAATATAAATATATAAATATATATTAAAAATAAGAGAAAGTGTATGTGTAAGGAGCAGGAGTATTTTTATATTAGAAGAGGCCTATTAAAAAAAAAAAAGTTGTTTTCTGAACTAGAAGAAAAATGGCAATTTTTTGAGTGCCAACTCAAAAAGCGTGTATTACATTGTAAAAAAACGAAAAACAAAAAAAAATCAAAAGCAGGGGTTTAGAGTTATTTATATAAATGTTGAAATTTTGCACTATTTTTTAATATAAATATGTCAGTGCTTGTGTTGGTCAAAGCCCCTATGATGTCTACCATGAACCTGTTAAGGGATCTGTGTCGAAGTGAAAAACAAAGTAGCTGGAAGGGGGTGGAGAAGCGCTGAAGTGGAGATGCCAGCCCTGGAGGAGCGGTGAGCGAGCCTGCATCTTACGCAAATCCTTAATTCCCAGAGTCCCTGCGCGTGGCCACCAACCAGTCCTGGTTTATACATTCCCTACAAAGCAAGAGGAGTTGGTGTGTGTCTGTGTGTCATCCGGTAGGATTATTGGAGTAAAAGGGTAAAATAAAACCTCCCTGCTTCTGAGAGTCAGTAATGCCAGAAGCAGACAAAAAATTACTTGATTTTTTTTTTTATTTTTTGGACAACCTCTAAGTTTTTGGAGGGGGGTGGTGGGAATGAGAATAAACTTCTGTGTCTGAAGGAACAAAGTGGTTTTTGGTTTATTTCTTTCAGTGTTTACTGAAGGGCCCTATTTGGCGCTAAAGCAGTGATGATGGCAGTTAATGTGAGTAAATGGTAAGGTACCCACAGGCTGCCTTTCAGCTGGGGTTTAAATAACACATTGAAAGTGTGAGCTGAGAAGTGTGGTAGTGGTGAAAGTCATTTTCAGTTTGTATTCAACTCCTAAACCTCTATTTGGAATAAACGGGCACAGCCGTGACTCCAGTTCCGCCTTTCCCCGGGCTGTCTCTGGCCATTGCTGTTTTTTACTTTACTATCCTGGCTAAAGAGGCGTCAGATACAGTAGATGGGAATGAACCTGCCCCTGTGATGTAGTAATTCAAGGCTAAAGAAATACGCTTAACGCTTTAGAAGCAAAGCCCCTTTACCTCTTCTGGAGATGTCCTCATCCACAGCAGCCTGGCCCCTCCCGCCCTTGTGCGTCTTTAATTTATCTTGGTTTCGGAAGCATTTTGTCTTACTGTGCTGTTGTTTACATTTTTATATCGTGTAGGTGTCTGGTAGGTGTTTTACCCTCGCGGTCAATTTGTACGTGATGGAGTGAGCGAGCGAGCGACCTGAGAAAGCAAAAGGGAGAAATCCTGTTGTGGGTCCCATCTCCCGGCCAGGAGAGCATTGCTCCGCGCGCGAGGAGGGGGCGGTAGGGAACCACAGAGAGCGAAGCTTTTACAAGGAGGTGTGATTTCATTTTCTGCAGGATGCTATCTAGTAGAGTGACATAAATGAAAGATATAAAGGCAATAACTATTGTTTTTAAGCAACTTTTCTATTACTTGAAAAAGAAAAAACCAACCACGAGAACGGTTTTGAAGTTCTGACCATTTGAACAATATTTATATATATTTTAAAGAAGATGATGAATAGCCGAACTTGAAGTTTGATCATTTTTTTTGCTTTTTATTTTTTGCCTGGAAATAGTCCTGTACCTTCTCAATATTTCAAACTGCTTTTCCACAGCTCTTGAAATCTTCATAGCTTTACAGTCGTGCAACCTAAATTTTGACGATCTAAAAAAAACAAAAAAAAAGCCACTAAAAGAAGTCATGTGAAGGAGTAAACCTAGTGTGTCATGAAAGGTACAAAAGTGATGAATTTATAGGAGTTTTTAAAATGTATCTTTCCTTTATGTAACATGTCTATTTAGTGCCTTATTAAAGAAACAGTAACCTTCCCTTTTAGAGAGGGGAACACAAACTCATCGTTAGCGTCACGAGTAACCAGCGTCTGGGCTCTTGCTCCTTTGGACCTTGCATTCGATTTTCCTGTCCTTTCGTTCCCGATGCAGCTCCCAGTGCCTGGGCACCCAGGCTGCTCCCTCCCCGCTGCTCCTCTCCCACTCTTTGCGAGGGAACTTGAACACATTTATGCACATGATCCTACCCGGGGAGGTAGGAAACTGTGGTGGATATTGTAAATGAGATGCCAACCAAACGAGAATCCGAAATATAATATCTACTGCCCTCTTGAGCCAAAATGCATGAATAGTGTTGTTGGGGTTGTTTGGGGGGGAGGGAAGGGAAGGGGTGTGTTTTATCAAAACTAGTTTGTTCACTACAAAAAAACCTGGTTACCTCAGCAGGTTTTGGGTGGAATGTGCATCACATCTACAGCTGAGCAGTGACAAGGGGGTGTTGTGGGACTGGAGGTTGTTCAGTACCAGGATTGTCTTGTCCCGCACTGTCTCCTGGCCACCAAACCCCATGGAGAGGTCAGGGAGGTGGGGAGGGTCTGGAAAGCTGTGGAGGGGCAGTGGGAGAGGGTCTAAAAATGCAGTGCAATTAAACCCAGCTCATGCTTTGAAGTCCTCAAAATTTCAACTGATTCTGGTTTTTTTCCCTTCTTTTTTCTCTTTCCCCAATCCACTCCCAGTGTGAGCTTTTATTTCTCAAGCATCTGTAGCCGAGTGATGAGTTTGTTGAGTTTCTGGGTCCAGTTTCATTTACCTCTTTCTCTAGTTTGGGGAATTTAATGAGTGTGAAATGGGATGGCTCATCAGCACCAAATCTCAATTGCAAACGATGCCTTTCAGTCCATGCCATGCACAAACAGTCCCCGAGCTGCCACCTCCCCCCCTGCTTCTGCGGGTCCCTGGGGAGCCAGGGGGGAGCACTGGGTGCAACTCGCGTCCACCTCAATGCAGCCAAGTTGTCACCTTTTGTCTTTCTTCTGTCTGTCCCTCTGCTTTGCAGCCCCTGAACTGTGTATTTCATGTGTGGATACCAGATCTAGGGCCCAGATCAACTCCAAGTTCTGAATGGGTGTTTAGAAGCAATGGTCTGTTCTTTTTTTTTATTATTGTTGTTGTCGTTATTGTTGTTGTTTTTATTATTACTATTTAATGTTACTTTTTGCCTCGGGGTCCATTTCTTCCCAATTCCCATGTCCTGCATTGCCGCCAAGGCAGAGAATTTGCTTTGCACGCCCTTGCTGATGCCTCCACCTGGTTCCTCCTGGGCTCTGTGTGGCTCGGGAGGGAGCTGCACTGGGGCCAGACGGGGGTCCTGCTCCCCAGGAGTCCCTGGGGTCTCCCAGCTGTCAGCAGAGATGTTCAGGCCCCTTAAGAATGATTTATTTTTAAACAAATACAGAAGAAACAAGGCATTGCTAATACTTAGCAACCTCTTGTCCTAGCCTGCCTTTTTGCTTGAAGTTTTAAGTCCTGTTAGCTTTAAAAGGGGTTGTTAGTCTTACAGGTTCTTAGCTTGCAGTATGGCAAACAGCATCCTTAAAGTGCCCCCAAATCTTACTGGCCTGGAACGGGAACATGGCTTTGTCAATTGGGATGGCGAGGAAAGATGGGGTTTATTTGGGTCTGACACTGGTTCCCTTCACAACCCTCGATTTCACCTGTTTGGAGATTCAGCTTTACACATCCAGTGCATTGTTTCCTTAAGTGTTATGAGATTCATTCGATCTTAAGTGGGGGTATAAGGAAATGCAGTTGCTTTCTGGAGAATCACCCTTTTGTATGTGTGTTGAACTACAAAATTGCACTAACTGCTATATTAAAAAAATAAAGAAAGAAAAGCCCAACGTTTTTACTAAGGATTGGGAAAAGACTGAATCCAGATGTGTAGCATTAACAGTGCTAGGCAAGAACAGAATGAATTTTTAATCTCTTGTGTCTCTCGCGCTCAGAGATTTTCTATGTACAACACAAAGCTACAAAAAAACAAAAAGAAGTTTTCCAGAAACCACACCACAAATTTTTGCTGTACTATAGAAGCTCATGAAGGACAACACTAAAGTCCTAATTTGCCTGCCTTATAGACACATTTCATTGTATTAATATTTTCTTAAACTTCCAGTTGCATTGCTTTGGCTTTGGAGTTTGTTATAGGCAGTCCTGTATCCTGAGTTCTGTTCAAGTTTAAACTTATGTAAACTATTGACAGCACATGCAATGCAGTACTTATCTATATTTTGCTGTTTTAGTATGAATATGTACTCTGATGCCAATTTACAAAAATCTGTTGTAAATGCTTATTGTGTAACAGTAACCAATAGTGGCAATTATATGTCATTCTAAAAGCTGCAATACTTATACAATAAATTTTACAATACTTTGGAAAATTTGCCTTCACCTTTTGCTTTGTTACCCAAAAATCAAAATTTGCCAACACAATGTATTTTCAAAAGCTCTTCCTAATTTCTTTCTGATATTGGAAAATGAATATTCTCAGTTTTTTTATATTTGTGTGGTTTTCCCCCTTCCTTGTCAGGTCGCCTTTGGAATAAGAGGCCAACGTCTGTATTGCCACGACGTGTTTTCCCTGTGAAGCTGTAGCTGGTTCCCGGTGCATTTGCATGCTCGGTCTGTGTGTGCATGTGTGCGTGTACAATTCTGTTTTCTTTTGAGTAGATCAGGTGTCGCAGCTTTAATCCCAGAAGAAGCATTCCTGGTTTGCACCGCTCTGTCCAACACTTGCGATCCTGCCTTTCAGCCAAGAACGTCACTGATGGTCAGAAGTTCTTAACTTGAATACCTGTCAATCAACAAGAACTGTGTCGATTTACTCAAATCCTAAGCACAGATAATTTGTGTGACTTTTTCCTTTTTGAGACTGTGGTCAAGTTGCAGTGATCACATTAAAATGATTGAAAACTTAACTGTTTGC